ACATCGGCCATGTACTTTTCACAATGCCACTATGGCACAGACAGCCTGTGGCCATGCTCCAGCCTGAGGAAGCCTGAGACAAATGTGCAGGGTGACTGGGGACTGGGTCCTTCCACCTTGGAAGGACACTACGGGGACAGATGACAACAATTAAATAAGTTGTAGATCAGACTGGTCATAGGACTGCACCAATGTTGACTTCGTTAATTTTGACAACTGCACTGTGATTGTGTACATCTTTGATCTGTGGGAAACGAGGGGAAATAGAATAAAGGGATCTAATGCCTGCAAGCCACTTTGAAATGGTTTAGACACATGGGTCACATATGTGTACAGGTGCACACACATGGACACTCGCACTGCACACATAAGCAAAAGGGGTGGTTGGAATTGCTGGTGTTCTTCTTGGATCTTGTAAGTGTGGGATTATTCCAAAATACAGTTTATTAGGAAGGTTCAAAAAAGGATCAAGAGTGCAGTTGAGACAGCCTGGCAGAAACTGAGTTGGTGCTGGAGGAAGGAGGGAGAACCCCATGGAAGGCCCCTGCCCCAGGGGCAATGGTGCTGTCAGGAGGTGGCTGTCTTCTCTCTGCATTCCCTTGTTTGACTTTTCTGGGCCTGTAAGATGGGGATAAAGGTGTCTGTCTGTTTCACTGTGATCTTGGTTTTCCAGAAGCAGGCGATTCTTTCCAAAGGTCCAAGGTGATGATAACAGATAAAGCAGACAGGAATGGTGAAGTCACAGATGCCCTTTCTCTCAGTTCAGAAGAAGGAACCCACGCCTATCTAGGAGTGGTGTAGCCCCTGCCTCTTTCTTGGCTCAATGTCCAGTTTGTCAACTCAGGGCCAAGGAAGCAGGGTCCCTAGCATCTCAGCTGTCCTGAGACATGTACTGAAGTCCTCTCCTGTCCAAAGGGGTGGCCAACACCAAAGCCAGGGTCTGTCTGGGTGAACCTTATGTCAGGAACAGGGCTGAAGAGTCAGCCAGACCTGGGGGTGCACCTGTTTTGTTCATCTGGTGACAGTCCCAGCTTCCTGCTTGATCACTGCACACAGCCAGCCCCCTGCCCCAGGTTCCACAGGCTGCCTGTGGGTCACCCATGACTTGAAGCTGATTATGCCTTCGTCCCTGTGGAAGGTGTGGGCTTCTGAGCAGGGCCCAGACACCCATTCTGCGTATTCAGCTGACAGTGCAGGCACAGACTAGCAAAGAGAGCCGAGGGCAGGGAGGTAAGGAAGGTGCAACTGCAGTCCCAGCCAGGCGACAACTGAAGTCTGGGAGCCTTGAAATGGAAAGACCACGGAGTTGGTCACCCTGGCTCCAAATTCCAGCTGCCCTGGCCTCATGGACTCTGGTTGACAGCACCTGCCCAGGCTTCCTGTTTCCAGCTCAGACATGGCACCTACTCCCCCAGGACCCCCGGCTGCCAAGAGAGGGCTGGCAGGCACCCACCTTCATTAGGAACTGGGACGTTCAAGGCAGCTCAGCTGTCTTTAAACCCCAACAGCTGCGGCATGAGGGTCCTCCCAGCTCCTAGGCCATCTCTCCCGGGGAGGAGGGAGCTCCTATTCCCCGCCCTGCTGCTGTGCACCAATGACCACTCTAGGCAAACAGCAGAACCTGCTTCCAGAGCTGCAGATGACCTGGTGTCCTAGAGAAAGGTGGTGGGAAAGGTCTCGAGGTCCTGGGTAGGGAGGCAGAGCTGGAAGTCTGTAGGGTAGACCACACCTGGACCTTTCCTGTGCTCAGGCAGCCAGTCCTTTCCCTCATCTGGGACATAAATATTCATGCACGACTACATGTGCAGGCTTATGCATTTGCACACGCTTTCCTGTGTATCTGGCTTAGGCAGATTTTCATTATCCCTGTTTTACTGAAGAGGAAATGGAAGGAGGGGGAGGGTGAAGAGCTTGTCCAAGGTCACAGCTTGGCTTGGGATTCGAACTCAGTCTGAACCTGGGTCCTGGCTCTTAACCTTGGCCCTCCACCCTGTTTGCAAATAGGTGTCAGCAAACCCATGATGGGCTGGGCTACATGGCTGCATACGCAAGAGACAGACGTGGAGGGGCACACGTGGGTGCCCCGTTAATCGTGAGACCTACCGCATGCTCACCGTGGGCATGTCAGTGCCCTTTGTCAGCACTTCCTGCGTTGGCTTGTGTGGAACGGGAGAGTGCAGGTGAGAATGAGCGGCAAGAGTGGGATTTGACCACCACCATTCCTCTGCTGAAGGGAGGAGCCCAGAGGTCAGGCCAGGTCAGCTCCAGGTCTCTCACACATGGTTTTCCTGGGGCTTGGCACCCCATGTGGGCTTCCTGGGCCCTGGGGTAAGGCCCCTAGGCGGGGCAAGTGTGATGCAGCACAAGTCTCAAGGCCTGAGGCCGGGGTGGGGCGTTTCCCATAGCTCCTGGCCCACTTCCCAGGGTCAGGCCTGTCACTTGGAAAACTTTGAAGGTATCTCCAAGACACACTTCCTGGAGTTTCTGCTCAAACAACATTTGCTGGAAAATATGTCAAAGCATTTGGGCTCCAGTTTTTGGTTCAGAATATGCCAGTGTTTTCATTTGGAAACGGAAGTGTTTCTGTTGATGTGGTGAGAAGATAAAATAAGACCTTCTTCTCAAGTTACACTGTCTGAAATTTAAGCACTTGGCTCGGGGACAGGGATTCATCTTGCGATCACAGGGGCCTAGCACAGACCTTGGCAGAAGAACAAGCAGGACCAATGTTTGTTGAATGACTAAATGAGTGACTAAGTCAAAGGGCTAGAACCTGGAGTAGCAGATGGTCAATGTTCAGTACAGATTTTGAGTGGATCCCAGAAGTTCTATTTCTGATAGGTGTTCTAAGTCTGGCCATGTTCCCCCATCTTCACTGACCTGGCCTGGTCAAAGCCTCTGTCACCCTTGGCTGGACAACTAACAGCCTTCTCACTGGCCTCCTGCTTGCACACTTGCCCCCGAGCCTGTTCTGCTCACAGCTGCCAAAGTCACCTTTGCAAAATGTGAACTGGATTGTGTCATCCCCTGCCTCAAACCTTCCACTGCCTGCCCACTGCTCAGGTCCTGCATGGCGTGGCCCCTGCCTCCTGTCACTGGCCTCTTTGTGGTCTCTCCCACCTTCAGGTCTTGGCATCAGCAGCTCCCACTGCAGGGACCACTGTTCTCTGGATCTTGGTGTCTGGCTCCCTCTATCAATCTAGAACTCAGCTCAAATATGTCATCTCCGCAGAGAGACTTTCTCTGACCTCCCCCAGAGCAGCCTGCCCCTATTCTTGTGTCTCACTTGGTGGACATAGAGTGTTTTCCCAGACGCTATGCACTGTTTAAGTTTCTTTCTCACAGTTCCCATAAGGGCACTAATTCCGTTCACGAGGGCCCCACCCTCATGACCTGACACCTCCCGAAGCCCCACCTCCTCACACCATCTTACTGGGAACAGGATTTTGGGTGACCGCTGTAGCGGGTGATTCTGTTGTGCTCACCTGAGGACACAGCAGTGAGCACAGGGGAAGCTCGAGTCCTCACACATCTGCACGCTCTTAAAAATCTCATTGGGTGTCTGGGTGTCTGCTAGTCTTCCTCATCAAGTGCCAGTCTGATGAGGATGTGCCAGGGCTCAGCCTGTCTTGCTCACTGAGTATTGAACACATTTGTTCTCACTGAGCTCAACCAGTGCTTTGTTCAAAGAAATCTTCCTCAATATGATGGTGTTAGGAGGTGAGGCCTGTGGGAGGTGGCAGGTCATGAGGGTGGGGCCCTTGTGACTAGGATTAGTGCCCTTATGGGAACAGTGAGAAAGAAATGTATGCTGTTTAAGCCACCCAGCCTGTGATACTGTTACGGTACCAGAACTGACTACAGTACCTCTGCTTATGTTCATGCTGGCAAAGATACACGGTACAGAAGAAGGGCAAATGCCTGCCTGGGGTGAGTGGCAACAGTGTTTGTTTTCTAAAAGGAGCCCCTGCCTGCCATGAAGCATCTCCTGCTATTGTTGCTCAGGCCCCATGCCTGGCAGAACTCCCAGCATCACTCAGCCATATGGCTTGGCCACAAAGTGTTCCTGCTTGCCCCATGACCCCTCAATGGACCTGATGGCTACCTGGTGAGCCCGCTTTCTCTCTCGTCTAGGCCAGGTGCCCTTTCTCTTTGGCTGGCCTGACTCCTCTCTGGACTTTAATTTCCCTACCTCTAATCCGCAACATGCACCATACACAAAAGTCCCTGGTGCAGGCCCAGAGACAGGACTCTGACACCAGTGCAATGATCCTGTGGCCCCTTCTGCTGACCTAAGAGCCTCCCAAGGCCTTGAAAACCCAGATAAAGCCATCCTGGGCATCGACCCCAGCTTGCCAGTTCTATGAAGGCAGATTGCAAAACTGGCAGCCTCTGCAGATCTGAGCTGCAGAACTGACGCCGGCCACGCTGAAACCTGACTCCAAAACAGCAGCAAAGCCAAGGCAGAAAGGAAGTGCGGGTTCCTTGCTGAAGGATCCTCTTCTCACAGGCTTGGGCCCAGCCCCTGCATACTGTTCCCTTCTGGTCCTCCAAAGGGCCACAATTCAAAGGTGACCATTGCCTAGCTCCTACCTCTTTTGACATCCCCACGTCTTTATTCTTCCTGGACTAGTGAGAACTCCCAAAATGCCAAGGTCATCCTCAAGACAGGCTGAGGCTGGGGGAGGGGGACCTGACAGTTCAGCCTCAAACATTTGGTGCAAAGGCTTTTTCTACAAGTCATGGGTGTAAGTTCCATGGCTACCCCAAAGGTAATTTTGGCCCTGGGTCCCCTCCCTTTTTCAACAGCTGTTCCCGTCACTGGGGGAAACTTTCCAGCCCAGCTGAGGGCCTAGGATGGTCCAGGAATCCTGGCACCCCAGTTGGACTTAGAGTAGGTGCAAAGGAGTCAGAAGCCTGGGGAGAAGTGTGGGTGTCTGTCCTGGGGACGCTCCCCTCTCCCTCACCCCAACCCAACCCTTATTGAGGGGGGCACTTACACGCTTTGGAGGCCGTGGGGGGCCTCCTCCTGGGGTCCCATCCCGGTCCTGACAGTGCCCCCCTAAACAGGGGCGGCACGGTGTGACCGGCTGGTCCAGGATGAGGGCTGCAGATGGTGGAGAGAACGGTAGTCCAGACCTCACTCCAAGTACCCATCGAAGACGTCAAGCTCCGAGTCAGCATCGTAGAGGCCGGAGCCGGGGTCGGAGAGTACGCCGAGGTCCACGAGCGCCTGGTCCAAGTCCTCGGGCAGGAAGACGAGGCCCACGTTGAGGACGACGTACTCCATGAGGAAGGCGTAGTACAGGATCAGCACGTTGACGAAGAACAGGCCCACGTAGAACATAGAGGGCAGCAGCGGCGGCTGCACGGAGGAGACCAGGGGGCCCAGAGCGTCCAAGTGGGCGGCGACCCGAGCACCAGGCATGCAGGGGGCGGCGAGGGCGGCGGCGACCGGGCGATCCCAGCAACCTCAGCCGCTGCGGGGCCCGGGCGGCCGGCGAGGGGGCAGTTCAGCCATCCAGGGCCACCCCGGGGCTCGACCGAGGCGGCGTTGGGCCCCAGGTGGCCTCCGGGGATATGCGGCGGCCTCAGGAGACCCTGGAAACGTGCCACGGGCGGGAGTCACAGTTACCCTCTCCCCACCCCGCGATGTGTCCACACGTCCAGGAAGGCGAGGCGGAGCCCCCGTGAAGTGGCCAGTGACTGCCTGGCTCCCTCCGTGCGCTGCGCTCGAGCTCACGGGCCCTCGCGGCGCCAGGGGAGTCCCTGCCGCGACTCAGCGTCGAGGGCCAGTCCCGGCTGCTGTCTCCCCAGCCCTCCACGGCCGCTCCTCGAGTCCCCTCGGCGCCCCCGCAGGCCCTGCGCCCATGGCTGAGGCCGCCGCTCCGTCCTCCTGGTCCGTATCCCAGCACCGCCTCCCGAGCGGCCCTGCGCTCATTGGCCTGCCGCTTTTTGCGCGCGCTCATTGGCCGGCTCAACGTCCGTGCTCATTGGCCAGAGCCGTCCGGGGGGGCGGGTACTCCTTCGCTCCGCCCCCTCGCGGGTGCCTGCCGGAGAGTTGCTTTTCAGTTCTTAGGGTCTGCGCTCGCGTTTTGCGTCCGCTTTGCTCCGTGCGTCCCCCGAGTAGAGGGACGGAAAATAGAGAGAGAGCATGCAATTCAGACTTAGACGTCCCATAGGCTACAAAAGCCGAAGGAAACTGCGGGTTTCCTCTGTACCTTGTGGGACTTGGGTATGGCGCACGCCTCTTTGGGACTCAGTGTCCTCGTTTTAGACAGAGGGGAGTGGGGAGGGGCGGCGGACAGTTCTACTGAAAGTCTTGAACAGTCCCCAAGCAGCTGTGGGTTTTTGTTTGTTTTTAATGGGGTGAGGAAGATTAATCAGTGCCCCCTTCGCCTCTCCAAGTTCTGGCGGCTGCCCATGACGGTGAATCTCAATTGTGGGGTTTGGGAAGACGGGATGGGGGCGAACCCAGGTAGGTCACATCTTCAGTCAGTAAGGTTGCTTATTGTTTCTTTTTACTTTGAAATGCAGGTTATAGTAATAAATGGATGGCTAAACAGCCAAACAACCTAAGTCCACTGAAAAGCGAGTCTCTCCTATCCGCGAATTACTCTGTTCACGGGCAACCGTAGTGCATTTTTAGGACTCACTTGGCCCAAAGTGCCTTCCAAAGCGGGTCAACGAACCTTTAAGGCCACCCCGAGCTGGGTGTTTTCCATGCTCTGTTTAACTGGAGCCACACGAGCTCCAGTAAATGTCCGTTTTTACAGATGAGAAATGGAGGGGACCCTGGAAGCTGCTGGCCTGGGTGTGTTTCTTTGGTGGCCGGAACCTACTCATTTTTCCTCCATAACTGTCGCTCTTCGAGGTGAATTGCAGGGGGAACCATTAACTTTGCACTGGTCTCCATTTAGTCCCCGTAATTCCCGAAGGTGAAGCAAGCCATTCATTCACTCGGTCGGTCTGCGAATATTCATTGAACGCCTACTATGCGCCAAGCCTTGGGCTGGACCTTGGGGAGAACATTGGCTCCTGGCGCAATTCTTTTCTGAGAACCTAAATGGACACCATAGTCCTTAAATAACTATGAGGCGTAGAAATGAATGATTTTGGGTGAACACCAGAGAAATCCTCTGAAAGTACAGGATGTCCAGTTTTGGTCCGGTGCTGCTTGCAGACCTTTCCAACATATACTTTAAACTGAAGTGGAAGGGGAAAAAGGTTTTGAGGACAAAGAAGGCTGTTAGTGAGTTGGTGCAGTTCTGGTTTATTAAGGGGATACAAATAAGGATACCGGGGTTTGACCCCTGGTTCTGCCACTGACCTCGGGCCAGGCAACCTCCCTGTGACTCAGTTTCCTGGATGATAAAACTCGAGAAATAATAGTGTCTACTTCATAGGGTTGTTGTGAGAGCTAAATACTTTAATATAGGGCAGTGGCGCATCGTATGTGCCATGCAGTATCTATTTTAATTAATTCATAAATTATGCGGTACTGCGGATTGAACCCAGGGCCTCCAGGTAGGCAAGTGTTCTACCACTGGGCTACACTTCCAGCTCCCTTTAAAAAAATTGAGACAAGATCCCACTAAATTCAAACTTGTGATCCTTCAGTCTCTGCTCAGTCTCTGCAGTAGCTGGGATAACAGGCGTGCACCAGGCGTGCGCCACCACGTCCGGCCCTATTGTTATTCCTACCACAAATAGTTACTAACATTGCAGCGACTTTCTCGGGGCTACGCCCCCAGGCCTCCAGGTCCCGCCCACTCAGGCAGGGCGCGGCCTACTCTCCTCTCGCCCCGCCTCTTCGCGAGGGCCGCGCGATGCATGCTAGACCTTGTAGTCTGTTCCGAGAGTCCTGTCGCCTGGTGCCTCGCAGGCAAACTGCATTTCCCAGAGCTTTTTGCGGCGGTGGCCGTAAAGCGCGGCGGTCGAACGGCCGGTTCCGGCTGAATGTCAGTGAGGGGCTGTGGGCCCGGGAGGAAGGTGGTTGGCGGTTCCTCCACCACCTCCGCCTCTGCCTCCTCTGCTTGTGCGGCCGCCGCGGGCGCGGGACCGCTCGGCGGGTCGGGCATGAGACCGTGAGGCGAACGACGGGCCGGGGTCGCCGACATGTTTGGCCGTTCGCGGAGCTGGGTGGGCGGGGGCCATGGCAAATCGTCCCGGAACATCCACTCCTTGGACCACCTCAAGTGAGTGTGCGGGGGGTAGAGGGGGGGTCCTCGGGACCGGACGCGGGGACGGGGACGCAGAGCTCTGTTCGGGGGACGCTGAAGGTGGCGGCGGAAGGGGCGCCCGGGGAAGGCTGTGCGGTGGCGACAAGCGAGGGCTCTGGGGTCCGAGCGCCTGGGTTCCAACCCTGGCCCCGTCGCTCCTGGCCAGGTGACCTTGGACAAGTCGCCTAGTTTCTTACAGTCCCCGTATCCCCACCTGAAAAGTAAGGGGCTGAGGTTTCGGTTTGTGCACGTGGACTTCGTTCTTTCCGGGGGCAGACGGGGGTCACTAAGCCTCCGGACAGCTAAAGGGCCAAAGGCACGGATCCTGGAGTCGGCCGGATCTGGGTTCGAAGCTGGATGTATGCACTTAGGCTTCAGTTTCCTCAGTTGTAAAATGGATAGAGTGACAGTACCTGTTTCCTGTAGTTATTTTGAGGGTTGGCTGCATAAGAGAATGGCCAAAGGCTCAGAACTTGTACGAGAGTACTCAAAAGGGCAGGAATTAAAAGAACATAGTATTTTCTGGAGGAACTCTAAGCAGGGTTGCTCTGAGTGGGGACAGATAGCAGAGTCCTGGGAAGCAGGCGTGCACAGAGATTGGAACCAGACTTGTGTTCCAATTCTGGGTCCCCACTAATGGTTGTGTGACCTTGGACAAATTATTTACTTCTCTGAGCCTCCAGTTCCCCATCAGCAAATGAGGATGCTGAATATTGTGCAAGGATTCAGCAACGTCATGCGTGGATTGCTACAGAGTTGTTACAGAGTGGGTGGCCAAGAGTGGTAGCTGTGTTTATTAGCTCAGCAGGGCCTTCCCAGATCTCCCTACCTAATGTGCTACCCCCACCCAATTCCTTCCTGTCACATTGTCTCTTGATTTCATTCCTTGCATCCCTGCCCTCTTCTTTGCCCTGTTTAATTTTACATTTCTCCCATCTCTTATGCAGAGAGACTGCTTGGTTTGTTCACATTTGTATTTCCAGAATCTGGTACTGTAGGAACTCAATGGATACTTAGTGAAAAAAGTGAATGAATGAATTGGTGAGAGGTGCAGAACATGCAGGCTGAGATCCAGGATTTGGAGGGCAGATAGGAGAATGATGCAAAATAGAGAACTTTGAGGAGGGATGGAGTTCAGGGGGGAAACTAGGGATGGAGGTGCTGAAGGGAGGAGTAGGCAAAATCGTTGGTGGTAAGAAACAGGCAGACCAGGCATGTTAGCTCACTTCTGTGATCTCAGCACTGGGGAGGTGGAGACAGGAGGCTCGAGGTCTAAAGCCAGTCCAGGCAAAAAGTTAGTGAGACCCTATCTCAACAAATAAGCTGGACATGGTAGTATGCCTGTAATCCTGGCTATGTGGGGGATTAGCAGGTAGGAGGATCGAAGTCTGAGGCCAACCCCAGGCGAAAACTCAAGACCCCATTTGAAAAATCTTCTGAAGCAAAAAGAGCTGGGGGTGTGGCTCAAGTGGCAGAGTACTTGCCTAGATAGTGTAAGGCACTGAGGTCAAATCCCAGTACTGCCAGGAAGGAAGGGAGGGAGGGAGAGAGGAGGGAGGGAGGGAAAGGAGGGAGGGAGGGAGGGACGGGCTGGTTTTAAGAAAGAGAGAAAAAAAAAAGAGAAGTGGAGGGGAGGGGAGGAGAAAAAAGAGAAGAAAAGAAAGGAAGAGAGAGGCTGGTTTCCAGAGGGAACACACAAGGTTTCTAGTGGGGAGTAAGGAGGGGTTGGGGAGGGTGGAGGAGCTACAGAAAGGAAGATAGGATCTGTGCAAGGAATGGTGAGAGGGGACCCAGTGGAGGCAGGAGTGTTGTGATTCTCCTCTGTGTCCTTTCTAGCATGGAACAGGCATTTAATGTTTGTGGGTGTTGAAGAGTTAGGGGTAAGATGGTTTTGGTGGGGTGCTGGGGAAAGAAGACAAGGAGAGGGAAGAGGTCCAGCCAAGGATGGGGTTTGGTAGGGAGCAGGAGTCTTAATGGGAGGACAGTTGGCCTGGAGAGGGAACAGGGAGTGGCCAAGGATTTCAGGAATTCATCCAGTGGGTGGATAAGGCTGTCCAGAGGGATTGGGCTTCCTGCCAGCCCCAGATACCTGTGGGCTCTCACCTGACTCGCCCTTTTGAATCACTTTATTATTTCTTGAACGCTGTAATTCCTTCAGTCCTCACAAGTCTATGAGTTGTAGGATCTCTCATTGCTTCCATTTCTGTACAAGTGGAAACTAAGGTTCGAGGAGCTTACGTCACTTGCCTAAAGGTGACTGCAGCTGAAGGGTGTCAGAGGCAAAACTTGGCTCTGGAGCTTGCATTTGTTTCCCTGTCTTTCTGAATGAAACTTCCTGGTTTTGGGAAACTCTCTGCTCATCTGAGTGTCATCACCAGTAGGCATCCTTGCTGGCCAGCCAGTGCACCCTGAGAAACATAAAGGGTCTCAGATCCTTTGCAGTGGCCTGAGGACTGCCCAGCTTCATTGTTGAGGTTGCTGCAAACTGGAGCTGCCTGTCCTAGATTGGGCTCATCCTCTTACTCTGGATGACAGCCTGAAGAGCCTGGCGATTTGGGTCTTGACTGGCATGAGGCTTGAAAGATCCCAAGGTGACTTGGAAAAGAGTGCTGTGAGCAGTTATGCCCACCCCAGTGCTGGGCTGCGAGTCATTTGGCCGTGATAGTAAACATCTCGGGAACAGAACATCTCATTCCCTAAGGGAGTCTGCAAGCTGATGGGGGCAACGGCCACTGAGCCAGTGACTATACAGTGTGTCTGCTGGGATCGCAGGAGGCCCAGGGTTCTGGGTCATTCCCTTTCAGAGTCCCCAGGGTTGGGTAGGGGTCACCACATGGAACAGCCAGATGTGGGAGGGGGATACCATAGATAGGATCCTGGGGTTTGTGACATGTCGGGGTGGAACTGGTAGTTGTAGGAACAAGGGTGGAGGTAAGAAGGGTCTTCATCTGACATATGAGACCATTGGTCCTTGCTTGCCTGGGACTTGGGGTTTCCCAGAACATGGGACTTTCAGTGTAAAACCAGGAAAGTCTTGAGCAAATTGGTCACCTTCCCTGTGAACAAGTGACAGTCCCTAATCTGCTTTGTCTTGCCCTGGGGCAGTGTGTGTGAGAGGATAGGTTATGATATTAAAATAATTTAGAATATAAATATAATTTTTTGGTTGTTGGGTTTTGGTGGTTTTTTGGTGCACAAAGTGTGTGAAAACCTTTCTTTTTAAAAATTATTTTATTCTCAGAGCACTCCCAGCTTATAGGCTGGAAAGGAACTTTCCTGTTAGATGGGTTCCACTTTAGCTGAGTAATGGAAAACTGGGTGCCTGGGCTCTTTGTCTACTGAATTGAGTTAGTTATTTAGTTGGGTCAAGTTGAAATGGTGAAGAGATTTATTTGCTGTACATTACTGGTGGTTTATTGTCCAAACTAAGTGGCAAGGCCATGACATTAACTGACAGATGCCCGCTACCAAGCAGAACCTCTGCTGGTAGAGTCCTTTGATTGCTGCTGAAATGCTGTCTTGACATGGGACTGTGAGTCCACAAACTGATTGAAGCTGGTTGTTGTGTTGCCTTCATTCTGGACACCTGTGTATGGGGTCGAGTGTTGCCTGTGTGCTAGTGGAACTTGATGGGCTCCTGAGGCCAGCTATTTAGCCTCTTTCCTTCTCTTGGCTCTGTCTCCTCCTACCTTGGTGCCATTCTCAGCAGGCTCAGCAATGCCTGGGAAAAAGAGAACTGCTTCTCCTCCCTGTCCCCGGCCCAGTCCTCTTTGGTTTAGGTATTTTTCAGTAGGCTCTCATGTTATACCTAGGCTTGCTTTGAACCACAGTCCTCCTGATCTCTACCACCCAAGTAACTGGGATTACAGGCTTGAGCCACCATGCCTGGCTTCCTTTTCTTAATAGTGGCACAAGTCTAGAATTAAGTGTCTCGAGACCAAGCTGGGGGCTCATGGCTGTCCTGAGGTAGTCACTGTGGCCAAGGGTGTACAGTGTTCCAGTTGACCAAACCTCCCTCATGTGCTCCTGGAGCCAGGTGGGACCAGTTCCCCTCATGCCAGGGGACACAATGGGAGCAAGGGTGGCTTTCTATGGGAGAAGCAGGGGTTATTATCCAAAGAAGTGGGATGTCCACCCAGCAGGCCGGTGCTCACCTGCTCTTTGTGTATTCCTTGTTTTGCCAGTACTGGGAGCTTAGGGTACAATATTGCCAGACAGATTTTCTTGAAATATCATACTCACCCTAGCACAACTAAGGAGTCCCAGGCGCCCTCTCAGTCAAGTCTAAATTCTTCCTGGCCTCAGAGCACTCTGACTCGGTTTCTAGCTCTCTAGTTTGGGAGCATCCTGGCAAGCAGACGCTGTTTGAATGGAGATCTAAGGGTCCAAAGGGTGTGTAGTGGCTCACAGGTGGAAGGGGAGGTGTGGAGGTGGAGGGAGGGAGTTTCCGAGGAGGCAGCTGGGGAGTGGCACATATTCTGGAAGGGAGTGTGCATGGGGAATTGGGGTGAGAGGCAGGTTTAGGACCCTGAGGTGCTGCACATCGTAATTCAGCTAAAAGAATTTGAATTTTAGGTGTGAACAGTGGGGAGAAACTGAAGGTTTTTTAACAGAGGGTGCTGTGGTTTGGCTGAAGTTTAATGAAGGGATCAGAGGAGGTCTAGACTGGAGGTGGGCAGCCACTAGGGGCTGCTGCTGCTGTCTTCTGGTGGATTGTGGCAGCACTTTGCTGGAATCTGAGTGCATTTCACCTGATGGTCCTCTCACTCACTGGCAGGCATCTCTCATGCCCACCTGGGTTCACCTTTGCTTTCCACTTGAGCTCCCTCTTTTCTTCCTGCCCATCCTAGTGACTTCAGCCAACAAGAGTCTCTCTGACTTCTCTAACTTCTCTTGGGTTTGTTCTCCCTGCCTCACCCCGTTAACATGTTCTTACATACTGTCTGCTTCATCTCCAAGACTGGACTCGCTGCTAGAGCTGTGGGTTCTTCAAGCTTCATCCAACCTTGACTTAGATTCCCAGGAAGCTGCCCTGGGTTCCTCAGGCTGTCCTTTTGTGATCAGAAGTCATCATAGTTTATGTATATCTGTTATTTTTCCCACAGTGAATGTGTGTCTTCTGAAGGCAGGGACATGGCATGTTTTGCGGGGTGGTGTTGGATGCCGGCACAGAGCCTGGTGCTCAGTAAGTCACCAAATCCCTGTGACAGGATGAATGAAAGCCAGTTCTGGCCGGCCTTTTCTTCACAACTGCTTGTTCTTACCGGCTTGATTACAGCACCTGTGTGGGAGTCTGGCTTTCTCTAGGCTGATGGCCCTGTCTCCACTCTCACTCTGTATCCTGGGCCCAGTCCCACCTGCTGGCCTAGTTTGACATCTTTGCGGGATGATTTACCAGAGTACCTCCTGCAAACACCTTTCCCTAATCCTCTAGTCTGAGCCAACCTGCGTGGATCGCCTCCCAGTCCTTCTGGCCAGAAGGCTGGACTCTAAGCAGATGACTTTTCCAAGGCCCAGAGAAGTAGGGAAGCGGAATTTGGGGGATGTCTTGAGGGTCTCTGCCCTCGCACTGAGCAAGCCCATCCAACTTAGTGTCCCACAGTTCTCACTGATGCCCAGGGCTTTGTCATTTGGAGGTGAGTGTGAGATTCTGTGCCCCGGCCTCCTGTCATTCTGCCTATCCTTTCTCACTCCAGCCTGTGGATGAGTTCAAGATCTTCTACTAGGAGCATCCTAAGAGGCACATTGTGGTCCAAGTCATAGAAACTGTCTTTAGCTGCCCTCAGAAACTGCTCTTGCTAAAGACAAATGTGGACTTTGCATTGCCTTCTGTAAAATGGGCATAATGATTGATTTCCACGGGGGTGGGACTTCCTCATGTCACTTGTGAATCAGAGGCTCTTGAGGAAGCCAGCTCTGGTGACATGGGCTTTGTTTGCAGCCATAGTCCCGGGTGACTACCTCTAGAGCACGGGTTGCAGGTTGGCAAAGGCTGCAGTGTTTCACCGTATGGGCATGGCAGCTCCAGCTCCTCTTTCTATGGAGTTGGCTCATGGGCCAGGGTCTGCAGAGCTGTTGTGGAGACAGATGATCTTGGCTCTTTTCTGAAGCAGGGGTGTATGGTTAGTCCTAAGAACTTTCCTTATGACCTGATACGTATTTGCATGGTCTTTGGTTTGTTGTTTATCTATTTGGTTTTCTTTTATGCTAGGGACTCTTAACTTCATGGAATGCTTAGCTAATCAGCATTGACTTCATTGTTTGCATTTTCTGTAGTAGACAGCTTATATCATGGGTTTGGAGTCAGCCTGCCTGGTTCTAATCCTGGCTCCACTCATGCAGCAACTGGGACCCTGGGAAGGTCCCTCAGCCCACACTAGGCTGCTCAGGGATTTAGGTATCCCCGGCCTGTAGGACGTTTAGATAGGCTCTTGGTGGGCATGATTCTACCAATTAACCCAGTCTCTTCCCTATCACTTTTTCAACTAAGAAAGACATTTGTGATGCATAGTCTACCCTGTGGTCATGGTCCCAAAATGAAATTTGGAGCATCAATTATACCTTCTGCAGGGAAGCAAAACACGCAACCCAGCTATGAAAATATCCACGGCAAAGAAAAAGGCACAGGGGAATGGATTACATCTCCAGCAGTGGCTTTGGGCAGTGGCATGCTGGCAATTTCCATGTTTCTTTCTTTGCTTTTGTCAAAGTTTACAACTTCTCTAAAATGAATGGTACATTTCTATGCTGACAGTTATTAAACTGTTTATATCCCGAGTGATTTAATTACTTGATCCCTAAAAGCTCTGGAATGAAATGCAGCATTAAAATATTAAGTCTTAATCCATTCAGCTTTTTCCCCAGTACATGCGGACAAATGTATATGAAGGGTTTCTTCCTAAAACGTTATCAAAACGGTTTTCCACGGCATTGTGGGCAAAAAGATGAGCAGGGTACCGATGTGCCATCCTAGAGCTTAGGGTTGAACCCCAGTGGGTGTCTGTACCATCAGCAGCAGCCATATGAAAAGTAGCCATGCCCCCACGCCATTTCCACTTGCATCAAGAAGCTTCGACTTACCTAGGAGCAGATAGACCCAACACAAGATGTGCCAGACCCCTGTCCAGCAAATGGCCAGAATTGCTGCAAATAGCCTCACGCTGCTCTACTGTACAGATGTCAGCTTTCCAAATTTAGCTGTAGATTTAGGACAGTGTCAAAGGAAATCTTAGCAGGTGTTTTTGTGGACACTGAGAAGGTGATTTTTAAATATATATGGGAATGCCAGGTGTTGAGAATGGCCAATATAACATTGAAAATATGGAAGGAAAGAAGATGGAGGGCGTGCATTACCTCATGGCAAGACTTTTTGTAAGGCTGCAGTGTCAGACAGCATGGTATTGGCACAAGAGTAGACAAATAGATCAATGAAACCAGAGCAACCAGAAAGAGATTCGCATGTGACCACCTGATTAACGGCAAAGGTGACACTGAGGGCAGTAGAGAAATGAAGGCCTTTCAGTAAATGGAGCTAGATCTCCACATAGAAAACTTAATTTTGGCCCATGTCTTATACCAACATAAAAGTCAGTTCCAGGTGTCCCTAAGCCTCAAGTGTTGTGTTGGTCTGTACGATGGTAACAGTGGGCATGTCCCATGGTTATCTGAGGGTCACGTGAAGCCTCCACTCAGTGGCAGGCTCATGGAGGAGCTCTAGAATCTTCTTTCAGAACCTACTACTCTACCCTTTTTCTCTCTGTAAGGCCTTCTAGTAGCTACTAGGATTTTTTCAGAGATTATTTAATGAAAGCAGCAACCGTAATAATAATTAGCTCTTGTGTTATTACATAGTGACTGCCAGTCTAGCTATCTGTCTCTCTACTTACTTGTTCCTCCTAACAGCACCATAACAGGTGGTGCTGAAGTATCAGGTGCTGTTGCTGTTACATTTTACAGATGAGATAGCTGAGGCATACAGTAGCTTGCTCAGCATCACCCAGGTAATAAATGATAGCTTTGTGCCCAGACTCTGGTGTGTGAGCACTGGTGTCCGTAATTAACCCACATACTCTCCTGCCTCTCCAAAATGACCCTGATTTTTCACTTCCTGTTCCTGTTTATCTGGGCCTTCCCATTTCAATGTCTCCCTTGAGGTCATCTTTCCCTGATGTTTGCACCCAGCCTGATCTCACCTTCCGGAATCCCTGGAATAGCTTTTGTGTAACTTAGTAAGGGTGTTAGTAGTGCCCCCTCATAATGACCTCAGTATAGTAATATAAGCAGTTAGCCCTGCTTTGATGCAGTGAGTGCTTACTGTGTACCAGGTGTCTGCTTGACTCTACCCATGCATTATCGTGTTGAGTGTCTAAAATAACACAGTGAAGAGAACTCAGCTGTGACTGCTGTTTTATAGAATCTGAGCTTCAGAGAGGTGGGGTGAAGTGCTTTGTCCAAGGCCCCAGCTAGATAGGGTGAGGGATCAAGCTCAAGACAGTCAGACTCCAGAGGCCAGCTCTTCACCACAGGGCTGGGCTCTTGCTAGCTGGGTCCGCCACTTGCACCTCTGGCTGTGTTTGGTTTTGTGTGTTGTGATCCAGATTATGTTCATGAAGACCCACTGCAACATTTATTGACCACCTGCTGTGTGCCAGATATTTTGGAGTGTATTGGGGTCACCAAGATCATAAAGATGAGATTTCTGACCTTGGGGAGCTCGTCTAGTAAGGGAGGCAGATCGCTGGGAATCAGGGAGGTCTGTGCGGTAGCAAGGGCACATGGGTGCGGAGGTGCTGGTAAGGAGGCTGCAGTCAGATTCATGGGGTTACAGAGGGTGGGGTGAGAAAGCCTTCTTTAAGGAAGGCTTCACTAATAGCCACCTGAGCTGGGCTTTGACATATAAATAAGAATTTGCTGATTGACAAAGTCATCAAGGGCATTTTAAGCAAACAGCCCTGTCAACTGAGGTCAGACCTGGTCCTAAAGATCTTAAACTCCCCTGTCCTTGTTGGGGGCCCTTGAAACAGACTCTTCCAGGGCACTGTATGCCATCCAGAGTGAGGAGAAGCTGCCCCTTACCCCACCTGCACTGCCAACAGTGCCTTATCACCAGCAGGGCTTGTGTATCCTGCAGAGAGTGTCACTGCTGGGGGCTGGAATGTATGCAGCTTAGTGTGCACAAGGCCACAGTTCTGTCCCCAGCACCTCAAAAGCAGCTTTAGCAGGATTGGGGACCCTGCAAGTGTGGGTGTACCAGGAGCAACAGGCAGTCTGATGCAGGAGGCCTCTGAAGCTGCTCTTTGAGCCTCTGGGGAAGCTGCACTTGATTTCATGATGAGTGGGTTCCCTGCAATCATCCCAGAGAGGTTCAAGTGCTGTGTTCCTTCTCCCAAAGGGAAACTGGCTCTGTGGCCCTAAACCCACCTGCCGCACCGCTGGTACGTTTGGACATGAATGGTGGGAGATTTATGTTTTTGGAGGGCACACTTCCTATTGCATGCTCAGAATTGCACAGAGCTGCTAATTAAATGCTTGATCATACCATGCCTTTTAAAATGTAATAGACAGCAACATATTAATAAATAAGCTCCAGTGCCCTGGAAGCTGTAGGTTGCCCTTTCCTGTTTTGTCTGCAGGCTCTACCTCTTTAGATCTTGCCATTTTTCGAGATTATAGATGAACAGTCCTATCTAATCCTTCCTCAGTTGCTCTCACCGGCCCCTTTCCCCTAACTGGAGGTACCCATGAAAGAAGCCAGAGGGTGGCTTTCCCCCAGTCACTTCCTCTGTGTCTGCTTTTCCTTCTCTGTGAGACTCTTTTTACAGGTGAAGTTACCTGGATGTGTGGCTCTGAAAAGCCATCTTAAAAGCGTGGCACTTCTTCTTTTCTCCGGAAAAAACACCAAATGGCGGATGATGCCGGTGCAGCAGGAGGGCCTGGAGGCCCCGGGGGCCCAGGCATTGGAGGCCACGGCGGCTTCCGTGGAGGCTTTGGCAGTGGCCTCTGGGGCCGCGGTAGCGGTTGTGGTCGGGGCCACGGGGCTCGTGGAGGCAAGGCTGAAGATAAGGAGTGGATCCCTGTCACCAAGCTGGGCCGCCTGGTCAAGGACATGAAGATCAAGTCTTTGGAGGAGATCTATCTTTTCTCCCTGCCCATCAAGGAGTCTGAGATTATTGACTTTTTCCTGGGGGCATCCCTCAAGGATGAGGTCTTGAGGATCATGCCTGTGCAGCAGCAGACTCGGGCTGGCCAATGCACCAGGTTTAAGGCATTTGTAGCCATTGGGGACTACAATGGTCATGTCGGGCTGGGTGTTAAGTGTTCCAAGGAGGTAGCCACTGCCATCCGAGGTGCCATAATCTTGGCCAAACTCTCCATTGTCCCTGTGCGGAGAGGCTACTGGGGGAACAAGATTGGCAAGCCTCACACTGTCCCATGCAAGGTGACAGGCCGCTGTGGTTCTGTGCTGGTCGCATCTCATCCCTGCCCCCAGGGGCACTGGCATAGTGTCGGCTCCTGTGCCCAAGAACCTACTGATGATGGCTGGTATTGATGACTGCTACACTTCAGCCAAGGGCTGCACTGCCACCCTAGGCAACTTTGCTAAGGCCACCTTTGATGCCATCTCCAAGACCTACAGCTACTTGACCCCCGACCTCTGGAAAGAGACCGTGTTCTCCAAGTCTCCCTATCAGGAATTCACTGACCATCTTGTGAAAACCCACACCAGAGTGTCTGTGCAGAGGACCCAGGCTCCAGCTGTGGCTACAACATAGGATTTTTTTAAAAATATAAAAATAATAAAGTGAATTAACCCTGTTTTAAAAAAAAAAAAAAGCCGTGGCAGGTGGCACTTCCAGGATATTGCGCCAGGCTGCTGGTCCCACACCACTCAGGAGTGGCCTCAGCAGTTCTCTGGGTCTCGTCTGCCTGTTTGCCCCAGCGGATGGCTTCCAGGCCTGTTTGGGTGGACAAAATACAGTCCCATTACCTCTCAAGTGAATTTAACTCTGAATTTAACAGTCTGTGCTCAGCAAATAAGACTGCTGCCTCTGCTTCACTTGAGCCCTAAGTTCTGACGGGCATGCCACCCCTTAGTGGGAGATCATGGGCATTCTGAGGGTAACGTTTTCTGCGCAGTATTTGTATCCCAGCCGTTGGCTTTGAGACCCACCTTTCCTAAGCGGTGTCCCCATCTCTCTGAATCTCAGCATCAACCTGGCTGCAAGCCCTGCATCAGACACTTGGCGCTGAGCTGCATCTCTGCCGGCATCAGACCACTGGGGAGCTTGTGAAACAGGCGGTGCCTCCTCCGCCCTCTGTTCTGCTGCACCCAAATCTCTGGGTGGCTCCACTGCCCTGCTTCATCCAGCTCTCCAAGTGAGTCTTTGTACACTGAAGTTTGACATCGGCTCTCTTTAAGGTCTGATGATGCTCTTGCTTCAGTTCGGGCTGTGCGTCCTCGTATTTAATGCCCTAAAGCATTGCCAGCCATTTTCCCTGTGTGGAGAGGTGTGTCTAATCTGAATGCAAAATTATGCTAACCAGATCTGAAATACTGTCCTGTCTGTCTTGTCTCCCAAATTGCTAGTGGCCATGGGGCCCGGCTTTCATGCCAGTTGGTAACCTCTTTTTTTCCTCTCCTTTTTCTTAGGTATCTGTACCACGTTTTAACCAAAAACACCACAGTCACAGAACAGAACCGGAATCTGCTGGTGGAGACCATCCGTTCCATTACCGAGATCCTGATTTGGGGAGATCAAAATGACAGCTCTGTGTTTGAGTAAGGCTTCCCAGTGCCTTTGTTTTCTCATTCTTCCTCTTCCTTTGAGTGTTTTTCCAAATGTGTTCCATGAGTCATTCCTGATGATGTCAGGACTTGACGCTAATTTGGTCTTGCCCAAATACCTAGTTATAGAAAATGTCCTTGGAACACTGTAGCAATGACAGCTAAACAGGAGTTGTAGAAAGCAGTGTCTCTAGAAAACCTGAAGATGTCATGGTTTAATTTCCAAGTGTGTCGGATGATCTCCCCTAAGGTAGGAGACAATGTCCTAGGTGGCCAGGTCTAAGTGAATGGAAAGGACCTTGCCCTGGGGAGCTGCTGAAGCCACCAGATAGTGTTTACTGAGAGCCTGGCAAGGTGCTGGGCTTTGAGGAAACAGGTAGTTTTCCTTCACCCCAGGTGCAGGTGCTTTGGGTGTCGCATTTTACTCAAGATCAAGTAGCAGGTAGATCGTGAAAGAGCAGTTCACACGCACAGCCCGGGAGGGGCTTCTCCTCATCCTCACTCTTCCTGGACAAGCAGCCCTAGGCCAGGTTTCTAGTCTCCCTGACCTCTGCTTCCTCAGCTTTAAAGAAGGAGAGCAAAGTACCCTGCCCAGTGCCTGCACAGAGCAGGCACTCAGAGATAACAGCAGGCGATAAAAATGGGTGTTGAACCAGCACGGCCTCCTCAGTACACTGTCACCGTCTTAGTGCCTGAGGATTTTCTGTTGGGTTATGACACCCAGATTGTACATGTGCGTGCATATATATGCACATATTCATTCTCAATTGTTAAATGTTGAGGCCACGTTTAAAGCCTGTTAAAAAAAAATAAAGGCGTTCCATTTCCAATCTGGCTTCTGTTAGTTATCCTGAATTGGTTTTCAGGTTAGCTCTCTGTTTTTATCAGTAAGCTTATCTATCAAAGCTCCTTGTGGAAAATGCAAACTCCTTAAATGCAAGCCTGTGACACAGGCCATGAGCCCCAAAAGAAAATGCTGGGGTTATAAAGTGAGGTGTTGCTTATACATGGGGCTAGTGCCCCATGGGGAATTTGTTTGTATCTGGTTTTGGAAATGAGAAAGACGAAGGTTAGAGATTAAAAATTGGTTCCCCCCCTTCCCTTACTAGAATGGACTTTCTTAGTTCATTCTAGCTTAGAAAAATTGCTGAGCACTGGGCATGGTAGCTCATGTCTGTAATCCCAGCACTCAGGAGCCTGAGGCAGGAGGATCACAAGTTTGAGGCCAGACCCTGTCTCAAAATAAAAGGAAAACTGCTGAGCTCTTGGTCCCAGTGATTCCAAAATAGCCAAACAGTGTGCCCAAGAAAACTTTGTTTTTAGTAAACTCCAGACTGGATTTCAGTTGCCAGTGCTCGCCTGGGCACCCACAATGCATTAGCCACCTTGTCTCCCAGCCTCCTGTGCTCCATGGCAGCTTCTGAGCCTTTCCGTGTTGTTTATGGCTTTGACAGTTTCGAGGGATGCTGGCCAGATGTGCTGGAGAAGGTCGGCATCTGAGCTTGTCTGCTGATCTCATTAGACCGAGGGAGGTGGGGCAGAATGCTGCAGAGGTGAAGCGCCCTTTCTTCCCCACGTGGCAGGGCGCTCAGGATCATGGTGACCTCTGTTGCCTCACCACCATGGTGTCTGCCACAGGTCTCAAAAGCTACTCTTTTCCCCTTTCCCTAAAGAGCATCCCTAAGTCTAGTCCACCTCCACCTGCCAAGATAGATAAGCTCCACCTTCTGGAAGGGCAGAGTACTTCCAAACAATATTTGCAGGTTTGCATGGATCTGTCTCTTCTCCCGCATTTGTTCATTTAGTTATCACTTCCTTATCACAATACAATCTCATGGGTATTTATCGTATACCTTGGGTAGCAATCCAATACCGCACTGTTTATCTTGTTGCTCACATTGTTCCAGCCTTGGCAACTCAGGCTTCTTTCAGGTTGGTCGCCATGTCCCTTTGATATGCTCTTGTCCTTTTGTCTTTTGAGCACTTCCTTCTTGGTACTATAAGATACTCCAGACCCACCTTGACCTTTTCCCGCACCTACCTTAGAATCAACCATTTTCCCAAGTAGTGTCCTAGTCCCTAAGGAGTATCCAGCCACACCTACTGAGTCAACCCCTGAGCAAAACCTAGGTGCAGACATTTTGATAAGTTACCAGATTGTCACTGTGCAGCAGTAAGAGTATAGGTGATACAGGAGAGTCACTGATTTATACAACCTGAAAGGAAGGTAGACAGAATAGTCAAATGACAGAAATACTCTGGAGGTCACCGTGAGTGGTATGTATAGGCAGACAGGCTCCCAGAATCAGAGTGGGAAAGACTTCAGGATTTTTAGGTCATATTTATTTATTTATTATTTTTCCCTTTTGTCGATGCAAACAGAAGCTGTGCAGTACTGCACCAAGGTATAGGGCCCTAGTCCCTGGAGCTGACAGTAGAGGAGAGAGGCACCCAAGACTGAGCCGCCCAGCAGATGCTTATGACTGCAGAGGGCGCTCCTGAGCATCCTTGTGGCAGGCTGACCTGAGCTTGGACACACAGAGCAATAACTAGAAACATCACTTTCTTCCTTAAAGGAGGGCTATTGGGAGGTTCTGTTGCTAGCATGTACCCTCAGAAGTCAGTGCCCCCAGGCTACATGTACACCAGTGTCCTGTCCAGAGCAAGAAGGCAGAAGTAGGCTTGGAGTCTGGCTAGGGTCCCTTGCCCACACCAGCACCTTCATCTTTCCTTCCATTTCTTTTCCTGAGCTGTGGAAACTAAACTTGATGACCTGCAGACCAGCATTCTTTCATTATTCAGCACTATCTTCCCCCTGCAGGGAATTCCAGTTGCTTTCTTAACACTCAAGATATTTGAGCAAAGGAAAGGGGCTGGGTGAGGATGATGGTACTGAGTGTGTGATGGGAAGTGCCCATGGGGTTTCTGAGCACAGGATCCCATTCTGCTCACCACTTCCTGGGTCAGCACTGTCCCCACCATCTGGGAAGAGTTGAAAGGCTGCATATTGATGTCCCTGGAAGGCGGAATCATGGGAGCTGGGTGGTGTGGAATCTGAGGCCAAGTGAGTGACAAGTGAGTGTGGATATACTTCTCTACAGATGCTCTTGCAGGGGCAGGTCTACATGTGTGTGTGCTGTGACTGTATCAGAGGATGACTTCATTTCCCATCTCAAAGCCAACTGACCCCTCCTCTTCTCTCCCCAGCTTCTTCCTGGAGAAGAACATGTTCGTTTTCTTCTTGAACATCCTGCGGCAGAAATCGGGCCGCTATGTGTGCGTCCAGCTGCTACAGACCTTGAATATCCTCTTTGAGAACATCAGTCACGAGACCTCGCTGTGTAAGGATCACTTGATGTTGCCTCTGCCATGCCAGTGGTTTCGTGTGTCTATGCTACTGCGTACTCTAGTCACTCAGGCTGCCCTAGCAAGGCACTGAAGCTCGGAGTGGCTAAACAGTAGGAATTTGTTTTCTCTCTGTTCTGGAGGACAGAGCCCACATCGAAGCTGTCATCAGGGTTAGTTTCAGGTCAGATTCTTCCTGGCTTGCAGGCAGCCACTTTGTCTGTTTTCTGTTGCTCTAGCTAAATGCCTAAGACTGGGTAATTTATAAAGGAAAAAGGTTTATTGTGGCTCATGATTCTGGAGGCTGAGGAGTCCAACATTGGATAGGCACTACTTGACTAATGGAAGAAAGTGTGAGGGCAGAAGGGCCTGTGCAAAGGAGAAAGAATGCTGGCTTTATAACAACTGCTCTTGAGAACTAGTTCAGTCCCATGGGAGTGAGAACCCCTGTGAGAAAGGCTCCACCCCGTGACCTAAACCCCCAACTAGGCCCATCTCCCAACACACCACATACAGGGATTAAGGTTCTAACACCTGAACCTTTGAGCTCACACTCAAGACTACAGCAGCCACTCAAGCAAGCAAGGCTGGGTAGGGGGTCGGGGGGATATTAATCTCTTTTATCTCTTATAGGAACACCAGGTTCATCAGATCTGGACCTTTACCCCTCATTTAACTTTAATTACCTCCTAAAAGTCCTATTTCTAATACACTTGCATTGGGGGTGATGACTTCAGCATGAATTTGTTGGGGACACAGTTTAGTCTCAGCTCTGTGTTTACCCTGTGTGGTAGGGTACTATGAAGGGCTGAAAGGGCTCCCCTCTGCTACTAATTCTGGGGTGTTCATGTCCTTCTATATGGTTTGATATTAAAGAGTCAGTTACTGAACCATGGGCCAACAGCATAAACACTGGAGGAGCAGGCGCCGAGAATCGATCCAGGACCTGCTGGGTGTGGGCTTGGATCCTCACCCTTCTGCTTCAGTTTGGCTTCCCACCTAGGGAACGTGGGCTCCTGGGCCCCGAACCTTCCCTCACTAACCCGGTCATTCATCTGTGACAGCCACCCCTGAGGGAGAGGGACCCCTTGAGTTGTGAGCCCAAAGTGGCAGATCTAGTGAGGCCTAAGTAGATAAGGGGTTTCAGCCCAGGGGAGCCATCCAGTGGTCTAACTGGGGTGCTTGTGTCTCCCAGGAGGCATCAACAGCGTCTGGAGATGGGCTTGGTTTGTCATGTCCAGGTAGAGAGGGGTACTGCCTGCCCCTGGTGGGTGGGAGCTAGGATGTTCCTACACATCCTAGTGCCCAGGACATGCCCACAGAGAATAGTCCAGCCCAAGCCATGGCCAGGGCTGAGGTTGAGCAGGCCTGGCTTAGCTCCTCATGCTCCATGCATGGTCACTAGCTTTGTCATTCCAAGATGACCCTGCCAAGCCCAGGCCCTGCCAGCAAGGAGACAAGTGGCCGAATGTCTGTATCAAAAAACACGTTCCTCCTGGGACAAGCCTGAAGAAAGTGGCTGGTAATGGCAGAGTGTCCCTCAGGTGGTAGAGCGCTTCCCTACAAGCATGAGGCCAAGTTCAACCCCAGTACCACCAAACAAAAAGTGGCTGCTAGAAGGAGGTAGACATGGAGACCTTTCTCTTCTAGCCAGAGCTGCTGCAGTGGTGGTTTTGACAGCAGCCGCTAGG